ACAAGATTCGTGTCTTATAAGTGTTACAGGTGAGATTCGTTGAAGTATTTCTTCCCAACCTCCATCAGAGCCCAAAACCACAAGACTTTCTTTTTTAATTAATTTTATTGGTACATTTTAGGTGTACAATATAATAAAAAACTAGTAACAGTTTTCTATGTTTTATTCCCTTATTTCTTCTTGCTTGAATATGAGCTACCATATTGTGTATCAACATTTCATGGAACTATAATATGTATGTAGTTTTTGAGTCATTATTCTGTTGTTTACACTTTAATAAATATTAAATCATACCACATGGGGAAAGTGTTAAATTTTGATTTTTATTGAAACCTTTACAGCTGCACCTGTCTCATTTCTTAAACCATGTACCTGAATGCACTGGTTGGCAATGCCACACGTGTTTCATTTTAAGTGATGTTATGTATCAGGGTCTGTTCCTCAGCTTTGTAGAGTCTCCCTTTAATCTGTATGTCAACCAGTCTGTTCTCAACACTGATAAAATTGCAGTGCTTCAGAACAGTTGCAATGCAAACCACACCTATAGAACACATCTTTTGAATGGTTAGGAGGAGTAATGATAATCACAAATAAATTATGCAAATGTATATTTAGCACTACAAAGTGCTGGTCATTGCTCTGTGTGCCGGCAGTACAGTCTTTCATTTAATTTTCATACAGACTTAAACGAAAAATACCATTTCAGCTTCAGTTTAGCACAGGAAAAATTTTGTTTGGGTTTTTTAAAAATTAGGAATATAATATATACTCATTTTATGGAGAGTTTAGTAAGTTTCAAGGAAGTTGCTTTCCAAATGTCATGTGAATCCCATAACTAGAAGTTGTCTAGATCAAATCTATATATATCTTATCCCCCAAACTTGCACTCTAAACCACTGTTTTTGTATTGCGTATTCTGTCTTAGGTCTTATGCCAGCACTGGAAAAAGGGACTCATCCAAGGTCCTATGGTTCAGTACAGGCAGAGATATTATTTTGTTCACATGTATGTTATTTTTTCCCATTAAGTTTTTTGGTACATTTAAATCAAACAATACAGTTACGTTTATCATTGGGATATTGTACCTTTACATGATATATCTTGGTGTTCATTTATTAAAGGCTTATTTGCAAATTGCTCCTTTGGTATCAGGCTAGAAGGAAAATAAGGGGATAGGAAAGCATCTAAACTAAAATCAAATTAATATCTTCTCTTTCTCAAAATTCCTCAATTCATCCTACAACACAGAAGTGTCAGTAAAGCTCATGTATTAGATAAATATCTGTACATTTTTCTTTCATGGTTACATTTCCATATGTTCTTTCTGACAAAGATGCTCTGGTTTGTTTTAAAGTCATTTATTTCATGAGAAGAACAAGGCAGGATGGGAAGCACATTGTCCCAAGTCCTACAATGTGCCAGCCAGTTTTCATGTTTCTTCTTTTTCTCTGCCAGAGTTCTCTGAGGAAGGTATCATTATACCCATTTCTCAGATGCTAAAAAATAAGCCTGACCAATACTATAATTTTAAGGTCATATCTCAAGTCAAGAGCAGGAATGGGTTTCTCTCTTTCTCTACAACATTCTAGTTAGCCTTCTTTTTAGATGATAGGCTTCTAAAGTTCAGGGAGTGATTGGTCTAAACTTTGCTAGAATTGTGTCTACATGAGTACTCCCTCAATATGATATGGATTATAGAAATGAAATCTTGTTCCATAAGTTTGAGTGTAGGAACCACATGGTTGAGCTGGTTCCTGAAGTGTTCAGCCAGGGTTATTATGTAAAGCGAGTTATTGCTCTTTCAGGAAAGCAAACTATGAAATGGTTATTGATATTTACACAAGGATTTTAATTAACAGGCACATTTCACTTTCTCTCATTTAATTTTTACAGCCATTCAAGTTAGTGATGGCATTATTTAGATCAGGGTACAGGAGTTTTCCCAGAGAAACATGCCCAGGAACTAAAGACCTGTAATTACAAAGTGTCACGTTCATTACTGGGCAGTCAGTGAACCCAAATGTACTTTTTAATTTCTCTTTAATGATAAGCTTTACTGTTCATGATGAATTTTGTCTGTCTACCTATATTTATGTAAAAATACAATCTCTATAACTCAATTTAGAAAGTACAAGTTACATAAAAAGCTAGGAGAAAATATTTGCAGATACGAATCTAATATCCTCAGTTTCTAAATATACAGAAAAATACACCAGAGATTACAACAGAGAATGCATATAAAAAACAATATAAATACCCAATGAATCATGTGAAAACATGCCCAATGATATAAATGATGAAATGCCAAATAATTTATTATACTACATGAAGCAGCAACATATTAACAGAGTTGGTGTAAGGCAAACAGAAGTTTATAAATATTTGGATAAATATATCTGCCTTTTAGTAAGACATGCACAAAAATTAACAGAATATACATTGTAGTATTAATAATGAATATCTCCTGGTAGAGTGGGAAGGCAGACACAACAATTAGCATCTCGATGTATGAATTGAGTGAAATGAATAAGCTCCAAAAATATTCCTGTATTACAGGCCAGTGACATCATGGCTGGCTTTGAAATAGGTTATGAAAGCCTCTTTTCAATAAAATAATAATGATCACATCCAGAAGCAACCATTTCCTTTTTCTTTCTCATTTTAAAATGTAAAATTCACATTAACAGATACCACATCTAAGTGGCTACAGGTCTGTTCAGATCTCTCATAGATCTGGTAGACCAACACTAAGGGTCAGAACAAAGATGCTACACTGTTCACAGATGTAATGCTGCTAGGGCAGTGACCAGAATCTCAGAAATGAGCAGAGGGTGCTAGTATATGTGATCTCCTGGTGGCAGAAGGGGGCATTCACAGCTCAGTAGTGATAAATCCAGAATGGATGCCAGACCATCCTTTCCATGGAGAGTATCTTTTCACTGTCTGTTCACATTAGGACACCAGAGGGAAAGTATTGCACTGGATACAACATATTTCCAACATAATTTATGGCATAATTAATGGGCCTGACTTACAATGGAAGTTTGATTAGCCAAAAGAACTGATTCACTAATATTAACAGATAATTAAAAAGAAAAAAATGAATGGCATTCAACATAAGTAAGACAGCTCAACCACACCAAAAAAATTCAAAATGTAATAAAAGGTACTAAAATATATAAATATATAACAAAGGTACAGAACATAAAAGTTATGGCTTGTGTCTAGATGTCCCACTCCCCAAATCCTCAAACAGTCATACATGGGGCTTTTTCAGAGGTGACTGCATCTAGAGTGTGTGGTGGTGGGATTAAGGATGTGTGATTACCAAATCAGTCCACTGATTTGCCACTGCACTAATCCTGGTAGACTGGATACAATATAAGGGACAGAAAGAGGCTTGTCCTGCTCCTTTGTTTTTTCTGTCTTCTGCTTGCCTTGAAGTGATTCTACTCTGCACTGCAACTCTGCCAAGTCACCCTACCTTGGAGCGAGCTGATTATGGACTGAAACCTCTACAAAAGGTGAACTAAATAAACTTTCCCCCTTTAACTTTAAGTGTTTCGTATTTTGTCTCAGCAATGAGAGAAAAGTAACTAAGACAATAATATATAATATGATCTGATTTTGAAGAATATACATACACTTTATAAGAATATGGATATGTCATATTTTAAAACACGAACAAGCCACTCAAATCTGGAGAATATTTACAAATAAATTGAGTGATTATCTTGAGACAGACATAGTAAAAGGGGAGATACAAAATAACATCTCTTTTTTATTAATTTTATTGGTACATTTTAGATATACAATATTATGACATTCATCATTGGAGATTTGTACATAATCTATCTTGGTTCTTAATTTTTCCACATTTCCCTGCCCTTCCTATTTACAATGACTTTTTTTCCTTTTTTAAATTTTCTCATATTAACTCCATTCCCTACTTTCCTTTTCCCTACCCCCCCACTTCCCCTTCCCTTTGGACCTTTTCTTCCTATTTCACATAATCTGGTATCTTTTGATCCTTATTTACACTCTCAGCTTCTCACACCAGAGAAATTATTCCATACAAAATAATCTCTCTTTATAAATATTTATATTTCTTCAGTGATTTCAAAGGCTAGAAAAATATTCATATTGATTATTAATTAACAAAATAAAACTGAGAGCATAGGATAAATGTTATTGATGTTTGATTCAAAAAACTGATTGAAAATGCTGCAAAGACATATTTCTGGGCATTAAAAGATGCTAAATACTTTATTTATAAAAGGAGGTTACTTTACAGCTTTATATTTATAATCACACATATATATGCACTTAACTGTGTTTAATCTGATATAAAGGACTAAAAACATTCTGTCCCATAATTTAATGTCTTTGGACCCTTTCAGCTTAGTGTTTCCAAATAACTGCATAATGTTTCTCCTGTGGGCTTCACAAGGTGAGTCCTCTTCCCTCCTTTTTTCCTAGATTTCTTGCTGCAAAGTGATAGCCAAATTGTAGTTCTGGATCTGATCACCAGATGGTACTGAAAGCCAATTTCAATCTTACTTTCACACACACACACACACAAAATGCTCATTTCACAAAGCCAAGAAATTCTATGTTGAATGGAAGTTATTTACAAGTATGTAAGATAAAGTCATAATTAATTCCTTAACTTAGCAATTAATACGTTATACTAACTATATTATTATTTTTTTCTCATTAAACTTTGTTTTGATGGGTCTCAAAACTCTGTGACAGATTTTTGGTCAAGTTGTTTCCATTAAAAAGTGATTTTAAAAACAAATAACTTAAAACTGTCACACACAAAAAGAAAACAAATGGCCTACAAAACATTCTCCTTTCCTCCTGAATGTTTTATGATGCATCGTTATCATTAACCAGTCTTTTACTATTAAACTGAAATGGTCAATTCGGAGAAACAGTTCTGAGAACGGTCTTCCACCACTGAGCAGAACTGAGGTGGCAGATGTTAGGGGTAACATTTATTTATCCTTCTCAGCTTTCTGGGCAGACTTGGTGACCTTGCTAGCTCCAGCAGCCTTCTTGTCCACTGCTTTGATGGCACCAAAAGCAACTGTCTGTCTTATATCACAAACAGTGAAATGACCCAAATGTGGATAGTCAGAGAAGCTCTTGACATACATGGGCTTGCCTGGAACCATATCAACGATGGCAGCATCACTGGATTTCAAGAATTTGGGGCCATCTTCCAGCTTCTTACCAGACGAGTGATCAATCTCCTCTTTCAGCTCAGCAAACTTGCAAGCGATGTGAGCATAAGCAGCACTGATCTGGCCTGGAAGGTTCAGGATAATCACCTGAGTAGTGAAACCAGTTGCTTCCATTGGTGGATCTTTTTTGCTGTCACCAGCAATGTTGACACAATGAATACCATTGACAGACACATTCTTGGCATTGAAGCCCACATTATCACCAAGAAGAGCTTCACTCAAAGCCTTATGGTGCATTTCAACAGACTTTACTTCAGTCATGACGTTGACTGGTGTGAAGTTGACCACCATGCCAGGTTTGAGAACATCAGTCTCCACTCTGCCCACAGAGACACTACTGATACCACCAATTTTGTAGACGTCCTAGAGGGGCAGCCGCAAAGGCTTGTCAATTGGGTTGAGTGGGTGGCAGGATGCAATCCAAAGGGTCAGGCAGCGTGGCTCCCCTGGCATTGCCATCTTTACACATGACCTTCCATCCTTGGAACCAAGGCATGTTAGCACTTGACTCCAGCCTTTTGTCACCATTACAACCAGAAATTGGCACACAAACTATAGCGTCAGGGTGTCTCAGTGGAATTCATTTTGTTAACACCAACAAAGAGTTGTTTCACACCCAGTGTGTAAGCAGAAGGGCACACTCATGGGTCTGCCCATTCTTGGAGATACCAGTTTCGAACTCACCAACACCAGCAGCAACAACCTGTGGCTTGCAGGCCACATGTGGCCCTCTACAGTTGGTAACTCCTCCTCATAATGTAAACTTTTAACATCATTATGAGATTTGCAGTGATATTTTTCATGCTTTTATTAACAGTGCTCAAGGGTAGACTGCTTAGGCAACAATGGCAACACTGTTGAGGAAGGTGCAGTATATTGCTACTCTGCACTGCTCACACACAGTCTAATGGAAATCCTCCTGAAATCTGAGTGAATCAGATGCTACATGGGCTGGTGTACATCTTAAGCAAAATTCAGTGATTACTGATAATAGTTCAGTATTTCAACCTACCTGCACCTGTGTGTGCCTATAAAGTCAGGCATTTAGTATTATTAAGCAGGCATGCAAGTTTTCTTAATCATTAAGCTTTGGCTTGCTGTGCTATCTTATTTTTATAATGAAATATAAGAATAAAGGTAGTGTGTTTAATTACATATATGTATTAACTGTAGTATATATTTGATATGCAGCCCAAGAAAATTCCTCTTTTCTCGATGAACCAGGTAAGCCAAATGATTTGGCACCCATGCTCTATAGCCTAAGTTACTCTTAGTGCTAATCATGTAAAACACGGGTCAGGGGCTCTGAAATCCAACCTGCTCTCATTGTGTTGTCTTCTTGGCCTTTGAATATTCTCTACTTTAGACCTTCCTATAACGTGGCAATTTCTGCATGCTTGTGATTCTTCAAAATTTTTACAGTGAACTGTATTGATTTCTTTATCCTAAAAATCAATAACATAGAAGTTAAAAGATGAATGACAATCAGAAGGGAAATTATCCACATATACTTCAGAAAACACTTAAAATACCAGGAAATCTCTTTAACCAGGAGATACTAAAACAAATTGGTTTTAAAATCTCATAGAAAAAAATAAGAGTACAATTAAAGTTTGAGAACATGTTCAATAAAATTTAACACAAAAATGAAAGTCCAGGTAACTGTATTAACAGATAAAAACAGTAACTTCTACATAACATTTACAGCCACCCACTTTTTGAAGAAAAGTACACATTTATTTCCATATAAATATATTTTCGTGTCCACTTTTTCTCTATGGAGAAAATATCATCTACAGAATATGCCCCACACCATTAACAAAAGATACCTTGACAGAGGCAAAGAAGGTAGATACATGATCTTCTCATTTTCCACATATGTATGTCTTTTACTGTTCGATTTCTTTCAATTACAAATTTTTACTAGTTTTGTGGTTCAGAAAAGTAACCAAAGCATTTTGGAAAGAGGGAAAAATGTTATGTTCTGATATCAAAAACCAATTTTATATACAAATAAAGAGCAAAATAGATGAGAGATAAGTAGAAAATAGGGAGAAGTTAAAGTGCTTCCCCAAGTTACATATTCCATTGTTTTAAAAATATTTCAATATATTAACTAATTTATTTTATTTATACTAATAGGGCATCTTAGTTCTTTGAAAAGAAAGTTTGCATTATTTTCTGTTTCTTTCTTCTAAGTATCTTTTTGGTTTATGTCTTGTACTGAGTAAGAACTTTGAAAATAATGATACACAGGATAATAACTTTTGTAATTCTCTTATTTAGTTATGAAATTTTGTTTTATTTTTTCATAAACTAAAAAGAAAAAATATTTTTTAAAAAACCAACTTCATGTAAATCTACTGGCCTGGAAAGGAATTCACAGTTAATAGTCAAGTTTTTTTTAAAGAAGATTGCCTACCTGTATGTACAATATGAGTGATCTAATTTATATTTGATCATACTCCTATGTGTGTGTATGCGTAAGTGCATGTTATAAAGCAAGTATGTCTAAAAAGATATGATCCAAAATATAAATAACCACACACGATTGCTCTACACTCCCTCCAGCCAGACAGCAATTGATTCTATGGGAAAGACTGCCTGTGCCATTCAAGCTTCCAGCAAGCCCTTTGGTGGGTCAGGCCTCTCCCCAGACCCGTTCCTGGTTGTTTCCCACGTATTCAGTGATGTAGTTCTGGTTTTGGCCAGCAGGTAGCAATTACCTTTGTTCTAATTGGAAGGCATCATTTTTTTTTTCAGAGAAAAATGAATAGTTTTAAATGTATTTGAAAAATAGGAAAAAAAACCCTGAAAATTTATGTGCACTTTCCTTTGTAAATAATGACTTAGAAAGCTGAATATCTCACAATCATTCATTGATTCAGTACATTGTCAGAGGGTACTGCCAAGTGGAATCCATTTGTTCATCCCTCTTATTTCTGATGCTCAGACTCCCACTTCCAGATGTCATTGGGGATGCATACTTGAAGAAAAATGACTACACTTCCTGTCTACATGTGTGGAGGTAGTGTTTTTCTCTAATCTTTAAATTGGAATAAGGAATTGGATGTGATAATTAATTAAATAACAAAAGGAAATATTACAAACATTCTTTCCTCTTCCAAACTCTATCAGGAAATATACGATACAAAAATAGCACCAGAGTTCATAAATTATATAAATGTGTGTACATTGCATGTCTTTGTTATAGTTTAAATGGTCTTTAATACAGTTATTCTATATATATTGGGCCAATTAAAATAGGAAAATAAATATGCTCTGCAGAGTGGAGAACAGACCACTGAGAAAAAAAGAAGATGGTCATGAGGCCAATGGTTGACATCTTCTATATTCCCCATTCTGAGGTCAGATCTAGGTTGACCTATCAAAAACCTGATTGATCTTGTGCCAGAAGAAGTGAAAATAGCATTCTCTGATTGGTTCCCAGTGCAGGGTTTGGTTGCATGTGTCCTGGTGAGGTCAAAAACTGTCTTCCCATGTAAAAATGGGTAACTGTGGGTTAACTGTGTAACTATGCTTGATGAGAAAGATATATTGTAACTACAGTCACTACTGTAATGCAAACTCAGTAGAGCAAGGCAATCTCAGAAAGCCCTGCCAAAATCTCTTGCTCCCTCTTGATTGCACCTTTGCTTATGTAATTATGTTTAGATTGATGACTGTTTCCCCAGTAATTAGGGTTCCCGTCTCCCCCATAGAAACATAAACATATAAAAATGAGAGTAAACTTTTGATTGACAGTTTTGAGGTGATTTGCATCCCTTGAAACCTCTGGCAATAAAGCTGTTTTTGCTCCTACTCAATGTGGTTGGTAGTCTGTCTGAAAACCTCTAAGCAGTCATGCTTCACTGGATCTCCATGTTTGACGTCACACCCACTTGCCCACATGGCTTTGCCACAACCCTAATCTCCTGTCTCTACCCCGTAGATCTCTCAGTGGCCTGGCAAGATGTGGCTTAGTTTGTGGTCACTTGACCGTGTTAACATATACCTAGTGGTTCCCAGAAACAATCCTCCTTTGGCAGGACCCACTACCTCCCCAAGCCATATCAGGACCACAGACGATTGGGAAAACTATTCCTGAGAGCCTTCATCTACCTGACTCCTAGTGGCTCTGCAAGACCTCACTTCAATATCCTGGGCATGTTGTGTGGCAGACTGTAAGCCCACTTCTCCTATGCTCCCAAATTGCTCAGAGTAGAACTGATGACGTGTCCCTCTTTTCCTCTCAAATATCTTCTGCCAAAGCCCACAGGGCAGAAATCAGAAGACACCAGCAGAATGCTTCTTCTTCACTTTCCTGCTATGTGTTGATAAATGTCCCACTCTGGATGCTACAGGAAGCTAAAGGCCTCTCTCAGGTGCACAGGAAGGGGTGGGTGACAAGCACGTCCATCAGTCCATTGTGCTTAGCACAGGACCTTACACAGATGGATGCTTCCTGCACATTGCCAGACAGGGCTGTCACTTTTCCTGCCTCCGATATTTGGAAAATTAATAGCAATAACAAGAAACCCCATATTAAGGACTGTGGTTTTGAAATCAACTGAGACAGCGATGGTCAAAGCACTCTGTATGCTACTGAGGTGTTTCTCTCCTTAGAACTTAGTGCTTCTCCGTTAGAAAGCAATTTTTCATTTACTGTCTTATTTGACCTTTAAAACAATCTTTTGAGGTGGGTGACACAACTGCAGCCAACTCTCATTGTTCCTTGTATTTATGTTCTGTAGAGTCACTAAATTAGCAAATATATACAACACTTGTCCTTAGTGGAATCTTACAGAGTTAGGGTCTTGTGATGCTCTCTGCTCAATCAATGTATAACTTCTTTTATGTGAGGTTTCTGCTTAAAGATACTTTATTGAGTATATAGTTTTGATTCATTGACAATGAACTCACAGCTAACTGCATTATGCCTTATGCCCAGACTAAGCTTATCTGAGATGTATGTTTCTCCTTAAGCCACATTACAACCTTCCAGTGCCTGGAGATTCAGGGGGGCTGTATTAAACAATGAAGTAACCAAAAAAGTCATAATTTTCATTACCAAATAAGCATTGTGGCAAAACTCCTTGTTTAGGCTGTGAAGCAGGAACAAGATAGCATCGTGTCACGTGTCCATCACTGGGTGTTGATGTGGGGGTAATGAATAAATTATAACAAGTGGCACAGTTCATAAATATGGAATCCATAAATAATGAGAACCTGTTATCCCAATTTTACAGTCGTGAAAAGTAAAAGCAAGGTGTCTGAGCCCATTTCAGGAGCAGGCTGCCACAAACCCTTTTGGTCCAACATGGTTTTCTCCAATAAATGCTACCAGTGCCCGCTCACAGGTCAACTATTCAACTCAAGAGGAAGTTATAGAAATTCAAGGTTCTGTTCCAAGCTTCTAGGAAAGGAACTTTGGGATCATGTGAGTTCAGTATGTGGTA